CACACAAAGCGGAGGGACCTACAGTTTTACACCGACTCCGAAAGGCGATTGTATTTTTATGAGAAGCTGTTTTTCGTGGCAGAAATACACTCGGAGGCTTGCCATTGCCTGCCGACGGACGACCGCTGTTACGAAAAAACCTTTTTTCTATATTTTATGCGATGTTGCTGTGACCAGGGTTTGAACCCAGGCGTTGCGGAGTGGAAGCGCGCACTACTTACCACTACACCACAGCGGCCGACATGTTTTAAATACTCCAGCTTTTTACTTTATGCTGACGATCTGACACTTTTTTGGAAAATCACCTGTATGTCTGGTATTGTATACTTGCAATGGGATTTGAACAATCTTGTTGACTGGAGTTGTCGCAATAAGTTGGAAGTTAATATAAACAAATGCTTCCACATGACGTTTTGAAAAACTCATAATACGGTTCTTTCAAATTTTCCCATCTCAAATCACCAGCTTACCAAAGTGAATGATTTCGTGGATTTGGGTGTTGCTTTTGACTCGGCTTTTTCTTTTGTGAACCATGTGTGCTATTTACATCCAAAGGCGTTTAGCAATTTAGGGGTTTTACTTAGATATGGGAAAGATTTTAAAAATCCATATACCAGAAAATCTCTTTTTAATGCACTTCTTCGTTCAAAATTAGAGTATGCTTCAGTAATTTGGAACCCAATTTACAGTTCTCACTCTTGTAGAATTGAACGTGTTNCACACAAAGCGGAGGGACCTACAGTTTTACACCGACTCCGAAAGGCGATTGTATTTTTATGAGAAGCTGTTTTTCGTGGCAGAAATACACTCGGAGGCTTGCCATTGCCTGCCGACGGACGACCGCTGTTACGAAAAAACCTTTTTTCTATATTTTATGCGATGTTGCTGTGACCAGGGTTTGAACCCAGGCGTTGCGGAGTGGAAGCGCGCACTACTTACCACTACACCACAGCGGCCGACATGTTTTAAATACTCCAGCTTTTTACTTTATGCTGACGATCTGACACTTTTTTGGAAAATCACCTGTATGTCTGGTATTGTATACTTGCAATGGGATTTGAACAATCTTGTTGACTGGAGTTGTCGCAATAAGTTGGAAGTTAATATAAACAAATGCTTCCACATGACGTTTTGAAAAACTCATAATACGGTTCTTTCAAATTTTCCCATCTCAAATCACCAGCTTACCAAAGTGAATGATTTCGTGGATTTGGGTGTTGCTTTTGACTCGGCTTTTTCTTTTGTGAACCATGTGTGCTATTTACATCCAAAGGCGTTTAGCAATTTAGGGGTTTTACTTAGATATGGGAAAGATTTTAAAAATCCATATACCAGAAAATCTCTTTTTAATGCACTTCTTCGTTCAAAATTAGAGTATGCTTCAGTAATTTGGAACCCAATTTACAGTTCTCACTCTTGTAGAATTGAACGTGTTCAACGAAAATTTATTCGCTTTGCTCTTCAGCTGCTTAATTTCTCGGAACCTCTTCCTTCATATGGTGCTAGGTGCAAACTAATTAATTTGAAATCTCTGGAAGGGAGGAGAATTGTCCAGTCGCATATGTTTGTCTATGATTTAATTAATGGATATATAGACTGCCCTAACTTGCTTGAACTGATAAGCTTTACTGTTTCCCCACAGAGTATTGCGTTTTCAATTGCCATTTTACTTGCAACCAGTCAAAGCGAATTATTTTTATCTGGCTCCGGTTTTTAGACTTCTTTCGGAATTCAACTGTATCTCAGGAAGGGTGAATATTGAGTTCTCGACTTCTAGGTCCTTATTCAAATATATGATTGAATCTATTTACTCCTAAACTTATACACTAAGTATGCAGAACTTTTTACTTAATAGGGTTATATTTAATTAGTCATTTTGATTAAATTTGCTCCTATATGAGTAAGTGTACTATGTAACATGTTTCTGCTGTTGTTGTATGTTATTATATAATTCTAAGGTGTTTTTTGTAATCTAGTCTGTAAGATTTTTTATAAGTCATAGACTAAATAAAGATTGAATTGAATTGAATTGAATAAAGTGTCAAACAAGAAATGTCAAATTTGCTGAGTTTGACAATTGAAAAAAAGCAAAATGGCTGGCAAGTCAGAAAACGTCAAATTTGCTGAGTTTGACAATTGAAGTATCAAGCAACATGATCGGGAGAACCAGAAACGTGGGTACAAAAATTTGTATATTAAATTTATAAAGTTTTCAAAGAAAATTTCAGCGGCATACATCTGCTAGATGCACAATATGACCAGCAACATTATTAACTAATAATTCTTTCATTATTTTGTAGTTACGAGCGTTGTGGAGCAGGAACAACAAATGTGCCCACCAACATCTTTTGACCGGTGCATCTGCGGATCTTACTCCATCCATTGCTTTTGCCAACTGCTGTTTGTGTAAAAATCGAAAAGGATCACACCTATACCTGTACATGCACCAGGGACGACGCCAACCACCTTCATTTTCATCAGCTTCATCTGGTTCAGCTTCGTCCAATTTTTCTATATCGTTCGCTCCAGTTCCTTTTCACACAATTTAGTGCATACAGTTTCTGCCCGCCGCCAGCACCAATAGCAGTGCAAGCACCAACAAACATTTTGTTTGCCGGTTGGAATAGTTTAAGCCACATTTATTTTACCAGTAAAGAGCTTAATTGCATGGTAAATACTATCAGTTTACATCAGATGATTTAACTGATATAGGTTAAATTGGTCGGGGTCGTTTTGGCACTGTAAACAAGATGATATTCAAAGTAGGCAAGGCNTGCTAGGTGCAAACTAATTAATTTGAAATCTCTGGAAGGGAGGAGAATTGTCCAGTCGCATATGTTTGTCTATGATTTAATTAATGGATATATAGACTGCCCTAACTTGCTTGAACTGATAAGCTTTACTGTTTCCCCACAGAGTATTGCGTTTTCAATTGCCATTTTACTTGCAACCAGTCAAAGCGAATTATTTTTATCTGGCTCCGGTTTTTAGACTTCTTTCGGAATTCAACTGTATCTCAGGAAGGGTGAATATTGAGTTCTCGACTTCTAGGTCCTTATTCAAATATATGATTGAATCTATTTACTCCTAAACTTATACACTAAGTATGCAGAACTTTTTACTTAATAGGGTTATATTTAATTAGTCATTTTGATTAAATTTGCTCCTATATGAGTAAGTGTACTATGTAACATGTTTCTGCTGTTGTTGTATGTTATTATATAATTCTAAGGTGTTTTTTGTAATCTAGTCTGTAAGATTTTTTATAAGTCATAGACTAAATAAAGATTGAATTGAATTGAATTGAATAAAGTGTCAAACAAGAAATGTCAAATTTGCTGAGTTTGACAATTGAAAAAAAGCAAAATGGCTGGCAAGTCAGAAAACGTCAAATTTGCTGAGTTTGACAATTGAAGTATCAAGCAACATGATCGGGAGAACCAGAAACGTGGGTACAAAAATTTGTATATTAAATTTATAAAGTTTTCAAAGAAAATTTCAGCGGCATACATCTGCTAGATGCACAATATGACCAGCAACATTATTAACTAATAATTCTTTCATTATTTTGTAGTTACGAGCGTTGTGGAGCAGGAACAACAAATGTGCCCACCAACATCTTTTGACCGGTGCATCTGCGGATCTTACTCCATCCATTGCTTTTGCCAACTGCTGTTTGTGTAAAAATCGAAAAGGATCACACCTATACCTGTACATGCACCAGGGACGACGCCAACCACCTTCATTTTCATCAGCTTCATCTGGTTCAGCTTCGTCCAATTTTTCTATATCGTTCGCTCCAGTTCCTTTTCACACAATTTAGTGCATACAGTTTCTGCCCGCCGCCAGCACCAATAGCAGTGCAAGCACCAACAAACATTTTGTTTGCCGGTTGGAATAGTTTAAGCCACATTTATTTTACCAGTAAAGAGCTTAATTGCATGGTAAATACTATCAGTTTACATCAGATGATTTAACTGATATAGGTTAAATTGGTCGGGGTCGTTTTGGCACTGTAAACAAGATGATATTCAAAGTAGGCAAGGCAATGGCAGTGAAACGTATACGCTCCACAGTCGATGAAAAGGAACAGAAGCAATTACATATGGATTTGGAAGTTAAAGGTTACGAAAACTTACCCAAAATATATTTTCTGAGTCTGTATCTAAACTCCTTTTGCCAAAGAATTGCTCGAGAAAGTCCTGATTTAGTCGCTCCGTCATGATGTATTTAAAATTGTACTTTGATTGTACATTTTCGAACAACATTGGCAGCGTTTTAGTAGTCATCAAAACACCTTTCTGGAATTACTGCAAACCTTTTTTACCTGGTATCACCACTTCCGACATGAACATGTCCCGAAA